TTGACCACTGATTGATTACTAACAACTACCACTGCCCAACCCCTCCGACACATAATCTGTAAGCCTATAAAATGCACACATTCATATTCTCTTATCCTTACTTCTTCAAAGATATTTGTAATCATATTGAGAAAGGAAAAAAGAAAAAAACATTATCTCCTATTCGATATTTAGGTTATTTATTTACTCAACAAAAATGGGGGTCAAAGTATATGGGTATCTACAAGCAGCTTGTCCACAAAGAGTATTGCTCTGTTTTCTTGAAAAAGAAATCGATTTTGAACTTATTCATGTCGATCTCAATACACTTGAGCATAAAAAACCAGAATATCTTCTTCGTCAGGTAATATTAATTATAGCATTTAATTATTTTTATTTACCAAAGAACATAAACCATAGAGAAAAATTATCACCGCAGAAAAATAAATATTTACGTAATTTCTTTTCTTTTGTATTAGCCGTTTGGTCAAGTTCCAGCAATTGAAGATGGAGATCTGAAGCTCTATGGTAAAATATATTCAATAATAGATACATTTCCTAACTACTTCAAATTACATATTTGTTACCTTTTTAAAAATATTCTATTTTTTTTTTTTGGCTTCAAGAATCGCGAGCCATAGTGAGATACTACGCGACCAAGTATGCGGACCAAGGAACGGACCTATTGGGCAAGACCTTGGAGCAACGAGCCATCGTGGACCAGTGGATGGAAACCGAGGTTAACTATTTCAACGCAGTGGGTCAACCCATAGTTATTAACCTTGTGGTTAATCCAAGGTTAGGTGTGCCATGCGACTTCGCTTTGGTCGAGGAGTTAAAGGTCAAGATGGAGAAGATCTTTGATGTTTATGAGAAACGGTTAGCTACGAACCGGTACTTGGCCGGTGATGAATTCACATTGGCTGATTTGACTCATATGCCCGGTTTGAGGTATACCATGAATGAAACCGGTTCGAGCAGTATGGTTACGTCTCGACCGAATCTTAACCGGTGGTGGAATGAGATTTCTGCTAGACCGTCTTGGAAGAAGCTCATGGAAATGGCTGCTTATTGAATTCTTTTGAGTTTATTATCGTTTATGTCTTGATGATATGATGTTTAATATTTTCTGTTTTTTTTTTTCCAAATAAATTGAAATCGCATGTTCTGTAATTTTGCATCTAATTTTTAAAACGAAGCCTGAAGATTTGATTCCTTTTTTTATAATCATAGAAAAGAGGTGGAAGAGGCTGAATGTACATTACTTTTGTGGGCTATACAATCTCTTTGGGCTTTAAGTTACCGAAAAGTTGAATTTGAAGAAAACAATATCACTATTAGCCGTGTCATCACCAACATTATCATGAATTTGAAGCTCCAACATCACCGTCACCAATTGGAAGGCAAATTTTATATATATCAAGTTTACCACTGCGAATGTATGTGCTGATCTTTTAGCGAAGACTTCAATCATTTCTCCATTACCATGGAGTATATTTCAATGTTGTCCGCTTTTTCTTCAAAACTTTATGTAAACAATGATATTGATTTGGTAATATAAATAAATTTGGTCGAAAAAAAGAAAAAGGTTCCAATTTGATCAAAAAAGAAGAAGAGAGGAGCAAATAATTACAAGAGGACTTCTCGAGGATCACTACAACATGCTACATATAAAAAAATTATATTGATCGATCTATTGATATCAGACAGTAACAGCTACATATCTGTTTTATATTTTGTAATATAGATAACAAATTCATGGTAACTAAAGATTTATTCTAGAAATAGGATTTTGAAACTAAAGTTTTATTAAACTAAAGCGCCCACCGTGGGGCACATAATATCTGACTTTTCAATTTAGATTGGTCATTGTGACAAGAATATCTGACTTTTCATATAACTCGAAATTAAAATTAATACTGATTTCGGTTTATATAAAGAAATTATACTATACATCAGGACTATTTTGAATGAATCAATAGTAATAACAAGAATGATATGTATATATGTTAGTATACCTGTAGACAATTGTAGTATATGTAAATCCCCTTTTTCTAGAAGGATATATATAAATCAATAATTTTTAAAAAATTAGAAAAAAATCGCAAGACATTTGTAATATTGCTGAGCCAGTAAACTAAGACGTGTTAGTTTTGTCTTCGTGATCTTCTCAGCTCTTACTAACCAAGACTCTTTGTCCTCTTCAATGAACAATGTCCTCTCTTCCACATTGTGAATAATAGGATTGATGTGAACTTTCAAGGTGTGAGAAGGTACGATTTGGTGATATAGAATCTTCGTTGTTTGATATGTGGAGATGAGCATTTGGTTGTTAAGCTTAGTTTCTTCTTCAACCACCTCAAATCCCGATGAATCTAAGGTTTCATTTGTATTCACATCTTCATTGTCTTCGATACGATTTCCATTTTCCTCGTTATACATATCAAACGAGAAAAATTCATCGATATCTATGTTATTATTGATATTGTTTCCTGTAAGTTAAAATGATTTGTAGTTATAGTTAGATAAGTAAAGCAAGCGGAAATAATCTTGTATGTGAAACCAAATTATATATCATATTCACCATGCAATCCAAGATCTTGTTCAGTATCATCCAAACACGATATGATCCTCTGCTCTTCGGTGAAACCCTTTACGAATGCAAAGTAACAATATGTTAATTAGGTTTAAGAGATAGAGCCTATAACGTAAAAATATCTTTTAATATTCTGTTCATGTATATATATACCTGGTTCATATGATGATTTGACATTGTTAATTGTTCATCATAGTTACCAATGTGTATCACTTGATCATCAATGTTATTATAAAGGTTGGAGTTACTTGCAGCGAAAGTGAAGTCCTCCGAAACGCCATTATCGTTGTTGCGAGTCATACTCGTGAAGAAATCACAATCGCTAATCGCAGAGTTCTCTACACGCAATGGTGGTAGGGATATGTTGTGTTGTAACATTGAGCATTCTATCTCATTATTAACCTACATGGATATAATATTCAATCCATCATTCAAAATATTATATATATTAAATTTTGATCCCCTTTTAATAGGTTGATAGATGTTAGTTATACCTTATATGGAGTAGGGAACGGTGCATAAGAAGAACCGTAGTATTGTGACCAGTCTTCGTTTCTGATTGCGTTTGAGTTAAAACGCCCGTTTCCAAATCGAGGTTGGAATGCGTTTTGGACTTGATGAGTAGTTGAACTGATCTCTAGATCCGAACAAGCGTCAAAACTCGAATTGCCGCTCATATTCGACATCGTGTGGACGTAAGACCGATGCTGATCTCTTGGCTTAGCTTCAATCACAATCTTTTTAAACACACGACAAAGTGCATATGCGTCCTGAAAAATATGAAAATTTAGAAGATTTTCTCTAATTATATATACAAGAAAAAATGATTAGTGCAATAAAATAGCTAGCCCATGAACCTGCATGCCGTATGCCGAAGGCTCGCATTCGGTTTCATCGAGTCGGTATTCATGCATGACCCAACCGGTTCTAATACCATGTGGTGCGCGTCCACGGTAGTAAACCAATGTCTTCTTGGTTCCAATGGCTCGGTCTCTCCAACTAACCCGGCGGTCTTTACCCGTGGCCTTCCAGTATCCTCCTTTGGTTGCCCGGTTTGTCCTTGAACCGTTGGGATACTTCCGGTCCCGTGGGCTGAAGAAGTACCATTCTTGATCTTTGCTCGGAAGCAAGGATTTCCCTATCAATGATTATATAAATGTAATTAATAGTGTAAATGTATAAAATTTTAATATTTATGGATAAGTTTAAAACGTACTTAATTCAAATGTTAAGATTTATCTGAATTAAATTTAGGTCATAATTTACTATTTAACTTTTAAAAAAGTTTTAGCTGAAATGATAACAAATGACTAAAATAGTTATTTAAAAAAATAATGTGTATATGAACTGATTAATTTTGAAATTTTAGTTGAAATAATAATACGATGTGCGTACGTGTATGTACTATGTAGTATTTTCCCGTCGAAATTAAAGTATATTTAGGGTTTCTTCATCTATGTTATATTCTTATTCTTTTCTTCGACCTCTCTTGCTCCTAGTGGTTTTAGACATAAATAATAATTCTTAATTACAAAGGTATGATTTCAATCCAAAATAAGATCTGTGAGATTTTGGAAACTAAAGTATATAATCAAGTAATCATAAAAAAAAAAAAAATATAGTCATACAATCTTTTACAAGGTTATAATCATTGTAACTCATGCATACACAAAGAAGATCTAGTATTGTTACCTGGTAAGTCCCATGGCTCACACTTGTAGAGATCAACTTCAGCGATAACCTCAAGTTCGATTTCTAGACCGTTGATCTTTCTTTTTAGATAGTAAGTAATTAGCTCCTCGTCCGTCGGATGGAATCTGAAACCTGGAGGTAACGAGACAGGAGCCATATAATCTTTCAAGTTCTTCTCGAAGTAAATCAATTTCAAGAAAGAGAAAGAGACAGAGAATCAAGACTCGAGAGGAAGAAGAAGATATTATGTTTTGTATTCATTGAGGGTTTGGAGAGGAATGTTATATATAGAAGGAAAAGGACAGAAGAAATGAAAAAGGAGAGGCAAAAGTGAATAAAGGGAAGGTCCCCATCCCAAAACAACAAATAATATTAAGAATTCTAACCAATAAAAAAAAAAGAAATGTTACATATGATACCCTGGAATAATTAATCAAAAATAATAAAGAAAAATCACGATCACGAGGCAATTTTGTAGTTAACCGGAATAATTAATCAAAAATTGCCTCCCTAAACGCAAAACCGTGTTTCTTCATTAAGTAGCCTCCTCATTCCTCAATGATCCCATGCTTCTCCAAGTGTGGTCGGTCTGGAATATATTGTACACGTGTCGTAACTCCAATGGTTGCATGGGAGATCGAATATTGGGTTAACCCAAAACTGTTGCAATCTCTCTATTCTTCTTTTTGTTCTTTTGGCGGCACTTCTAACTGAAATAACTGTCTCTTTTGTACCCACTTGCGATTCCGTTATTTTCCTTCTCATTGCCACGCCGATCTACGTTTATAGATCATCTTTAAAAATATTTAGTGTTC